ATTTAAGTTTCCTGGTTTATTTTGGAATCACTTTTCCTACAAGTATTAAGTTTAGTCCATTATAAATACACCAAGGATTCTCTAGAGTGTTTTTTTCCTAAAGTGATGTATTGTGTGGTTAAGATTTAATGCTTATAAATAAGTCTATAAGCATATGTAATTGATTCATTCAATAATATTTTAAAGAGCTTTTCTTCTATCTTCCTTGTGAATTTAAAAATTCTCGTCTACTAGAACGATATCTAGTCTCGTGTGATTTATTCCGCTGTGTCACCTATGTTGGAATACCATTTAAGCCTTCAAATTTGAAAATTTTATTATTGTTAAAAAAATTTGAATGTTTAATTTTATTATCTAGATACATTCATTTCGAATCACATTTTCTTGGAAAGTTAAAACTGAATTCTAACTAATGCCTCAAAAAATCAAATCAAATCATACAATTTAAATTAGATCAGATCAATTTATGGATTCAATCAATTTTTAATACACTTGTTGTTTGCTTATTTGTGGTGCAACGAGACATTTTAAATGGAAGGATCAAGATAATAATGAACTTGTACCCATTTATTACACTCCAAAAATATGCATTGTCTCCATCAAGATTAGGCTCTTGATTGTGTACGTTGGTCTCTCCTCCATTGACTTTGTAATTTTTAGTTTACCTGAAAAAGGATAGACAGCTTTGCTTTGAGGACAGAATGGGGGGAAAAAAAAGTAATATAGATGAAATGGCACATCATGGGCTTGGATGAACTGAATTTTGTTTGGAACTTGTCAAAAGTGCAAACAAACTTGTGATGGTATTGAGTGTGCATCACTACTAACTAGTGGGAACTTTCTTAAACCAAACTCATCATTTGGTTACCTTGAAGAATAATGTTTGGATCTCTAAAAGTAACAATTGTAAAACTGTATTAATGAGATGTCGTTGCTATGAGTCTCATATTAATGTGATCGTTTGACCTTTTTTTTTTTCTTACATTGTTAGCTCATTAGAGCTGGCACCAATGCTCCTAAATTAATAATCTGTATCACTATTGTATCTTTAATTATAATGTGGAGGTGTTCAATCAAAGAATTAGTCTACACAGATAAAATTAATAAAAATAAATTAATGTATACATCAATATACTAAAATTCATCTCTAAGTAAAAATAATAAAAGTAAGTAATGTGTTTGGTTTTAGAAAAATATCGGTTGAATAAAGAATATGAGTGCAGGACAACATTATGGAACTAAGGGTGTATTTGTTTGGACGGACTGGATAAGGGAGAATTGTAATCCATCAGACTATTAGTCTTGGGATACATTGTCCCAGGACTATTTAGTTGGACTAAATTTGTATCCTATGTTTGTTTAGTCATGGGATTAGATGTCTGGATTAGACTATTTTTAGTTATCCAATGTTTGTTTGGGATATTATGGAGACAGATAAATGCTCAAATGACTATTTTATCCTTTTCAATTATTTACTAAGTAATAGCAATATTAAACATAACTTTAATATGTTAATTATTTTTAGCTAGATTAAATAAAAATTTATTTTATTTTATTTTTTGCACAATTTTTTAATTATTTTAATTTATTATTTTCAATTAAATTAAATTTATAATTTATAATTATATTTTTTATTTAATAAATAATTTTAAATTAACGACAATAAAAAAATAATTTTATTTAATATATAAATTAAATTTTCAACAACACTAAAAAAATTTAATTTATAAGACCATAATTTATAATTTATTATTTTTAAATAAATTTAATTTATAATTTATAATTTTTATTTAATATATACCCTTGTTTGGTTGGCTTGGTCAAAGTTGGGTGAATTAGTAGTCATACTGGATTAGTTTTCCTCCAAAATGAGGGATAACTAATCCCACTTCAGCTTTGGATAATTGATCCCTACTACCTATGGAATATCTGCCAACCTCCATCTAATAGCCAAAAAAATATACTTGCCCCCAAAATAAAAAAATAGCCAAAAAAAAAAATTTCAAACCTTACTTCCTCCTGTATCCTACCCTAATCAGTATAGTACAGTAATCCCATGATATATATTAATGCCATGGTGTATTCATTTGCCATCATCCCCTCTAATCCCATGCCATGAAACGAACGTGGCCTAAAATTAACAAACATAATTGATGATGCCATGACAAGGACAATAATTAGTGCCAAATAATTGATTGGTCATTGGATATGGTTAATTTTATCTCCACCAGTAGGAAATTTTATTTTTCTGGTTGATTAGGTAACCGTAAACATCATCTTTTTTAAAATTGTTTCTATTGATTAATGTCCCTTTAACAATCTATTTTATGGAATAAAGACACAAATTTCTTTTATTGATGCTATAATTGGTATCATGTTCACTATCTCCACACCACTAGGAAATCTCATGTTCCTTGTTCATTAAAAATAATCCCATAATAACAATAGGTAGATCTAAACAAGTTGACACATCCTTTGATACTCCATACATACTAACGATAATAACAGGTAATTATTTTTTTAGTGTTGTTAATTTAAGATTATATATTAAATAAAAAATTTAAATTATAAATTATAATAAATAATAAATTATAAATTATGGCCTTATAAATTAAATTTTTTTAGTGTTGTTGAAAATTTAATTTATATATTAAATAAAATTATTTTTTATTGTCCTTAATTTAAAATATGGATTAAATAAAAAATATAAATTATAAATTTAATTTAATTTAATTGAAAATAATAAATTAAAAATTATGGCCTTATAAATTAAATTGTTTTAGTGTTGTTAAATTATAAATTATAAATTATAGATTACAAATTTAAAATTATATATTAAATAAAAATTATAAATTACAAGGGTAAAATAGTCTTTTGAATATTTATCCTTATCCAGTCCGTCTAACCAACCATTGGATTCACTAAAAATAGTCCAATCCAGACATCTAATCGCATGACTAAACAAATATAGAATACAAATCCAATCCAACCAAATAGTCCGGGGAACAATATATCTCGAGACTAACAGTCCGATGGATTATAATCCCTCATTATTCAATCTGTCCAAATTTATACTTAACGTAGGTCGGTATAATTATATTAAATTGATAGTGTTTAATATGTTTCTTCCCAACCTTAAAAAAGAGGTTAGTATAATTTATCAAAAAAAAAAATTTAGAAAATTAAAACAGCGTGAATATTATTTTTCTCAATGAACTCATGCACAGAACGCAAAAGATCCAAAGATAATATGCAATTAATCTATAAGCTTCAATTCTGTTTGTTCAACTTTTAGAAGATTGGGTATTTATGAAACATAGGTAGTTCGAAAAATATGCCGTACTTATACCGGATATTTGTTGTGTATAATATTTTGTATGGTACTTTTGTATATATATTAGGTATATAAAATATGTACTCAAATTTTTTTTCTTAAGTTTTGGCATACCTAGACGTCCCTAATATATACCGAAGCCTTACCGTACCGTATCTCAATTGAAACAATATTTTCTTCTACTACAGAAATAAAACTCATTTCACTAGATTTTTTTTTTTTTTTTTATGCTTACCATGATTTTAAAATTAAACTATGGTTTATAAGTTATTTAATATATTGATACTTAATTTTGATTTATATCTTTACTTTTGACATTAAATGTTAATTATAAGTTGGATCTTAACAAATTAAATCATTTAATTAATTTTTACATTACTCTAAATTAAAAATAAATATTTTTTTTTACAAGCGTCCCAAATTATATCCGTACCCTATTTTTTTTTTAATTTTACTATATTAACGTACCATATCGTACCAATACCAATACTCGTATCAGTACCCGTACTTCATGATTGGGCATCAACCTAAGAACTGATAATTTTTCATATTGGAACATTCTATGAAATCAGAAAATATCCGAGATATCATAAAAATAAATCAATGATGTGTATTTAAAATTTTTGTTATGAGACCAAACTTTAAGTAAATTCTGGCAATTAATTTGAGTTTCTTCTGTGCGTTTTCTGATTTTTTCTTCTGGATTCCTAATGTGACCGTATAATATTTGTCCCATTGAAATTCTGTAACCAACTATAGTTAACCATAGGGCCCAACAGGGGTTAATTTTTAGTTGGCAACCGGTTATTATGAGGCTAGGGCTCAACGGGGCCATGATGACATTCTTTTTTTACATGTTCAAAAAAAAAAAAAAACTATAGTTAACCATAGAATTAGCACTTGTAAATATAGAGCATGTATAATATTTGTCCCATTGAATTCTGTCACCAACTATAGTTAACCATAGAATTAGACACTTGCAGAAGCCTAATTCACATGGGCCCCTCGTATATAGTGCAAAATATACATGGATGGGACTTAGCACACGTTTATAAATACTTTGCATTAGCAAACAAAATCTTTCAATTCTGAATGTTAATTAATAATGTTATACTAATATACTTTTTTTTATTTAAAAAAAAAGGGTAAATCAAATACTATTTAAATTTGTTAAAGTTGAAAATTTTATTTTATTTTATTTTTTTATGAACCTCAACTTTACAAGTGAAATTGACATATTGTGAGACCAATCTATATTCCTCTCAGTGACTTGAATCATTCATCTTAAAAGACAAACGGAGAAAAAATATACATATAAAAAATTAAATTGATCAAACATAAATAATTATATAATCAAATCACAGAAGTATTTATAACAAATAAATGGTCTATTATAAAAACATAAAATATATATGACGTTATAAATAAAAATGATAGGATGGTATGACAATAGTTTATTGCATAACTTGATTTTTAGTATGAATAATTTTCTTAGTTAATGTGGTGAACTCTGTGAATTGTCAATTCATTACTTATATCTATTCAATACATTATATTAAATCAAAGATAAGTGTCATGTAAAAATATGATCATTGTAATTGTTAATTTTATTTTTAACTTGGTAATGCAAAAATAAGATAGTGAGTATGATCGCTACCAACCGAAAGAGAGAAACTAAATCCCATAAAACAAACGAGATTACATCATCATAATATACCACTTTCAATATATCTAGGCTGTAAAGCTAAAGAACAGAGGCAGCATAACAACAACCTCCTTCCTGGTTTCTACAACTTTCCTTCGATAATTTACGTAAACATCAAATCTTTAGCATCGAACTGAGCCTAAAACCTAAGTACGGTTTTGTTCTTTCCTCACAACTTTCAACAATAATTCGGTACATTCCTTTACACCACTTTTTGATAAAAACAAATAATGGATCCAAAATTACATCTACATCTACACACCCAAAAATTATTCAGCAATTCTCACAAATTCATCACTTGATTTTCATAGGACCCACAAATCATTGCAAATCAATGATGGTGATGAGTCATGTGGGTTCTAGAAAAGTCAATGGTAGGTGATGATGAGTTTGTGATAATGCTATGTCAGTGTCACACTGAATAACTGTTCCCATCTAAATACACAGAGTGTATAAAAACTATGAACCAAGAACAAGATAATCAAATATCCTGACTGTGTTTTCCTGTAAAATAAAAAATAAAAATAAAATAAACTTTTAAATGTAAATTGGAAATCAACTGGAGGAGGGAGGGTACTGGCCGGAACCAGTCCACGGCGGTGCCGGAAAATCTGACCCACCACCTTGATTTTGAGGTCCGGGAGGCCGGAAATAGCCCAATTGTTGTTGATCAGAAAAAAACAGAGGATATGAGGAAGTTGCTGAAGTGACTGAGGAAGAAGCAAATGAAGGTGAAGAAGAAACCAATGTTTGTGCATCTAAACCAGCTAATGATGAAGCATAGAACATTTGATCTAACAAGCTGTTTTGTTGTTGTTGTTGTTGTTGTTGTTGTTGTTGTAGTTGTAGTGCATGAAAATTCAAATCACCAGTGCTCTGTAGTAGCTGAGAGTATTGCCAATAGTCCCTAGCAATGTTAGGCTGAAATTGGTGGTGGGTTTGGAAGAACGGTGGTGGAGGTGGCGGCGCCGCCAAATGGGTCGCCGGAGAATTGGAAATGGGCAACTGGGTCGCCGGAGGGTGTTGGGGAGGTGGTAGTAATCTGACATTTTCAGGGAAGTTGAGTTTGGCTCTGTTTCCTCTGAATCTCAGGGCTGCTTCATCATAGGCTCTAGCTGCAGCCTCGGCTGTGTCGAATGTACCTAACCAAACCCTTGCTGCCTTGTGTGGATCCCTTATCTCTGCTGCCCATTTTCCCCATGGTCTCTGTCTCACTCCTCTGTATCTTCTTCTTCTCTCTCCACCCTCTTCATTTGATGCTGCTTCTGTTGTTGGAGTTGGTGGTGTGGTGGCCGTGGCCGTGGCGGTGATGGTGATGGTGGTGGGAGTGGTAGCGGTCACAATATTTGTAGGTTCTTCTGCTGCTGTTGACAAAAACATAGATTACACACAAATCAAACATGATAGCATAGCGATGTGTACTGATATTTGACTATATTACTCATATTGATGTGATAATAAAATGAAAAATAATTAAAATGTGACAATGAAATGGGAAAAACATGATTTAAATTTCCTTTTAAATCATCAAATCCGATAAAAATGAATGATAAAAACACTGTTCATCATCCATGCAAAATTACAAAGTATTTTTTGGCACAAACCAAAAATGTGCAATATTGCCAAAATAAAAATAAAAAAAAATAAAAAAATAAAAACTAGAAACAAAGAAATTAGCAAGTAAGAAAAAATAGTCTAAAAATTTATTAGAAAATAAAGCCAGTATTGTAAATTCAAACTTAGTGCATTTTACATTCAGAATCAATTTGACATGTTTTTTTTTTTTTTTTCTGTTGATAATTTACAAATATCATTACTATGAGATGAACAAGATGGAAAAAAAGTGGAAGATTGTTATTATAAGTTGAATCATAATCTTATTTGATAAAATTAAATTCTTACATAAATATTAAATCTTGAAACACATCAAAATATAAAATTATTGAAGTTATACAATTGAAAAAGAAAAAAAACAAAAACAAAAAACAAAGAACGAAAACAAAATCTCAAGTAATAAAAAATTGGATTTTTCATTTTAAATTGAGAAGAAATCAGTAGTGCAGAAGATAGAGGCCAAAACTGTGTTAGGTAAGTTAGGGGAGAGAGAGAGAGAGAGAGACTAACCAGTTGTTGTAACAGAAGATGACTCTCCACCATGAGAACCTCTGAAATCACTAATAAACCCTCTATAAACCCTATGAAGTTGTTGTTCTGATGAATATTGAGTCACACTCTCTTCTTCACGACCTCTCTTCTGTCCAGCCCACGAACCAGAGCTCGAAGACGAGTACGGCGAAGTAGGTGAATTCGCAGAGTAAATCCCACCAGACCCGCCCACAAACGACGACGTTCCACCACCACCACCACCCATCTCCGCCCTATAACCCCACTCTCCGCCGCCGTCACCCAACCTCTGACCACCTGACACAACATTTGTCAAGGCCGTCACCATCACCGACCTCTCTCTCGCCACCGCAGCCGACGACAGAATCGGGTGGTCAGCTCCTCCGTCATCGGCGGTGTCAGTCGTCGGGAACCTGACATACTCGCCGGAGTCTCGTGGGTTCGCCACCTTTGTCAGGCACATATACCCAACTCAATCTCGCCAGAAATCTGACAAACTAAGACCGACCCAGATGATTTTGTGCCGAATTATCACAACCCTTTTGAGGTTTCTATCAAACGACGGTTATATAAACCGATTGAAAATTCAAATTTTGCTTTCTAGTAGCCGCCAAAGAAGCAGTCTCTCTCTGCAAAAGATAGATAGAGAGATACGCACCACCTTTGGATAATTATAATTTTTTTTTTCATGAAAAACATAAAAATGAATTTGATTTCCTTTATTTATTTATTTTTTTGGGTGAGATACCAAAGATGCCCACTGGCCGACTCTGTTTTGTGTTCACACAAAATGTGTTGACCGATAATGGAGATGTTATATGTATCTGAGCTAATAAAAACCCTTCGAGCTCTCTAAAGAAAGAATAGTCGGTTTGAGAGAGAGAGAGAGAGAGAGAGAGAGAGAGCTTTTGAGATTTTGATAAAGAGTTCGTGTTTGAATTGAGTTGCTTTACCGACATTTATGGGTTTATGGGTTTGGATTTTATTCTAAGGAACATCAAGAAATGGGCTTTGAGGAGGTAAATGTTAGTAGCTTGGGCTAGAAAATATATTGGGCTCCAAAGTTGATTTGAGCCATAGTTGGAGTTCTTGGGATATGTTCTGGTAGGACGAAGGAACACCCTAACATGGTGTAGAAACAATCAACAAAATATGAATCTACTTGCGCAAAAGGTACCCGAGATACCGAATTTAGATGTGAGAGAAAATATTCATATTTATAACATTTTGAGTCACATTTTAATGCGCGCAGCGTAATTATAAAAATAGATGTTGAATTTAAGTTAGTACTCTTATAGTCACATCTTAAAATGTGGTGAGGGAAAAGTCAAAAGTTCAAACTGATAAAGCAGTAGCAACTTCTTTAGTTGTGATATAACTTTACTGACAAACTAACATCCTACAAACAGCAATGCTAGAGGGTCACAATTTTTGTGGCCACAATAGCTCAAAACTGCCAAAACGACGTCGTTTTGACAATTTTGAGCCATTGTGGCCACAAAAATTATGGCCCTCAAACATTTTCCTCCTACAAATATATATATACATATATATATATAAACAGAAGGGGCAATGTTATCAACCAAATTTGTTTTATTTTATTTTATTTTAAAAATATAATACATAAACTTATTTTTTAGTAATGTTATACATTGGCCTATTTTGGGAACTTCAAATTTTTGTCAAAAAGTTAAAAAAATATTATAAAAAAATTTAACACTTTTTTTTTTTTTTTGTAAAAAGGTCAAAACGTCACTAAAAAAATTAATTCTCAAAACAACATATAATCTCATTTCATTATTTTCTCACTCCTACAAACTGTTGGACAATCTTCACTGTATTTAAAAAGATTAAATTCTGTTGTGTACAAAACAACAACAAGAATAAAAGAAATAAAGAAAATGAGAGAATTTGTTTGATTACAAAAATCAAACTCGAAATAAAAATAAATAAATAAAACCACAGATTTTATTTTGTTACAAAAAATAAAAATAAAATCTGATTAAATAAACAAATAAAAAACAGAATAAAATTAAACAACTTACTTGGTTAATTTATTTGAATAACTTTTCTGATCAAGTCCAGTGTTTAACACTGTGTCCTTAAAACAGATTCGTCCTCTCCACGGTGCTTTCAGAATTTGGACGTCTATCTCCCAGGATGAAATGATCTTACTACAAACAATAGCAGCACTACAAATTGTTTGCCTTACGAACACACTAAGTGTTTACACTCTTTCTTTCGGAAATAAAATGCAGCAAGATGAAGAATATAATTAGCAGAAGTGAAATACGAAATTCTGAATGGAAAACATCAAATGGGAGGCTAGTCTATTTATAGATGTAAAGGTGGCTTTTGGTTTTGAATTGAACAGGTATGAAGCCTGTTAGATTCAAATTTAAACAGATTTGAATCTGTTTATTCAAACAGATAGAAACGGGAAGGGCTCTGTTTGGATGAGCAATAAATCCAAATCAGTTTAATTCTGTTTGAAAACGGGAAGGGCCCTGTTTGGATGAACAAAAAATCCAAACCAATTTAATTTGAATTCTGGATTTTATTTTAATAAAAAATAAAATTAAATTCAAATGTTTTTTGCCCAAAAAGATTAGAAGCCTAACCACGCACCCGCGCCCGGGCCCAGCCCGCTCGGACGGCGCGCGTGTGGTGATTTTTGGGTCCAATGGGTGTAGCCCATTTTGCCCATAACCTCTCCCTCTAAAACACTTGGGTACCCCTTGGGGCACACCCCAAGTATCTCACCCTAAGCCTTATAAACCCTTTCAAAACTTCACACCAAATCAATGTGGGACAAGCCAATTTACAACCTTAAGGAATTTCCACCAAAACTCCATTTCCATGGAGCACACTTTGGCTTCAATTTCCCATTCACTCGGTAATGGTTTTGAGCAACCAAATATACCACGTGAATCACAACGCTGCATAGAACGCGTTACCACTTTGACCCGAGTAAATCGATACTCGGGGCCCACCTAAAAAATAGACCGAACTTAGGAAAAAATTCTGGTTTTATCCAGAATTTTATAACCATTTCCAACACAAACTAATGGGGCTAACGTTAACAAATATACATGGGGTCCTATTAACTTATGTTTGAGGAGTGAAAAAATTAGGGATAAGAAATAAAATTATATACAATAATTTTCTCTTTTTAAAAAAAAAACAAAATTTTCTATGTACATTTATTAATGTAAGTATTACTATTTTTGTATTTAGAAAGAAAAAATAATAATAAAAAACTCTGTTTATGAATTTTTTTATTTTCTTAATAGTTAAGATATGGACCTTGAAATCTTATATTTTCGGTCGATGGTTCATATTTTGTGACAGAGGCTTAGATCATGAGTGTCGTATTTTGTTTAGTTTTTGAAGTATTTGGCCTTTTGCATTCAAGTAAAGCCATCATTTCTGGCTGCAAATTGCAAAAAAGTTTTGTCAAACTATAATATATATATATGACCTTTTGGAATGTAGTTTTATTAAATTAATAATAGCTCTATTTGTGCATATATAATCAATTTCTATATCGCTTCTCTCTCATTTTCGAATGATTTATATCTGTACACCAAATGATAGACATTTTTCTCAATAAATGTTGAAAATATCTTAGTCATTCCCCCCTCCCCTCCCTTTGCTTCCATTGGCTTGTTTAAAAAAAAAAAAAATTCATACAAAAAGTGCATTTGCCACTTCAATCCAATGAAATGGTTTAAAATAGTTAGAATATTTTCAGTCAATAACCACTTATTTCGTGTTTAAGAAAATTAGATAAAACAATTCATGAAAAATATTGTGACATGTCATAATTTTATTTAATCAATGCCTCAAATCAAGTCATGTCTGCAAGCTTAAAACATTGTTAAAAAGCAATATCATTTAAGTTTTATATTATACATGCGACACAATTTAAACAGCGAAATGAGATTATGATTGGATAATTAGAGAGAAATCATTCTTATTTTTTTGTATGAGATACTTTATTTTTAAGTTTTCTCCTTTTTATCCCAATACAACTGTGTGAGTTTGATTTCTGATCACACTGCCAAATTAGTAGTCAACTGGAGAGCACTGACAGAATAGATGACGCCTGAATGACCTGTAACAGAAAGAAGAGATTCCGGCGGTGGTTCGTCAACCCGGGACACTCCGACGATCAAGTCAGTTATCTCTCAAAGATAACAAAAGTGCTTAACTCACTATTCAGAATACAAAAAGCGTATCTTAGACCCATGGGGTTGCCTCCCTTTTATAGCCAACACAATCCTGGTCCCAATAGAAACCTAGCTTCAATGAACTTTGGATTACTGCTTGTCTTAGACTCTCAGTAGGATTGGAATAAACTCTCTAAGAGTCTTATCTTTATCCAAACTGAAGCCTTCCCTCGTTCTAAGACTCTTGTCCCTTATCCGTTTATCCCGGACTCCGGTATCTTCGGAGATAGCCTCAGCCTAACCGAGATCACCTCAGCGTCATGATCGAGACACGTGGCACCTCGGCTGACATTTCGGTGCCACCTCAGCCACGTGTTGCCACTCAAAAATTATGTCCCCACAACTGCCCCCTAGGTTATATTACCTCGGCATACTGAGGTGATGGAACCTATATCTTTTGATCTCGTAGGACGTCGGCTAAGCTAACTCCATTATTTATTGTTGAAGTCAAGACTCGTCGACTCAATATGACCAAGATCTGTAATCTGTTTTCCGCAAAATGCCTTTAGAGTAAATAATTAAGTTAGTGTAAATAATTTAGCCGAGGTCCTTGCTTCTTTAACCTAAGAACTTCAAGAGTTTTATCATGCATGAAAGCTATCATGCATAGCAACCCAACAGTTTTAGCCACGCGTCTTCCCCTCACTGGATCGTATTTGATACGCGCCTTTAAGTCGTCTTGCGTCTGGGTGCGCCGTCTGACAAACACGTTGCCCTAGACGTATTAATGGTATTTTGCCGCCATTCTCCGCATTTTGATCAAAACCAACCTCTCTTTCCGTCTTTTCACTTTTTTTACCATCACATCCGTGCATACTCTCTCTCTACTCTCTCAAATCCGCCATTGCTTCAAACCTTCAAGCTCTGCAACTGCTTTCATTCCTCCTCTCCGGTGAAGCTTTTGCTGCCCTTTTTCGATTGCAACCATTACCTGACTCCGACGCACTTAACATCGGCATCACTCCTCTGGTAAGCCACTGTTCCTTTTATTTAAATTTCTTGTTTCACTTCAAAGAACTCCACTGTTGTACTTGCTGCCTTTGTGTGTTTGTTTAATTTGTGTCTTGGATTCCATCATACACTTGAGCATGTTTGTTTTATGGCTCTATTTTTGCCCAATCCATTCTTGAATATACACACACTTGTTTGTATATCCGTTGATTTTTGCCACTGTTCTTGATTCTGAATCGCGCTCATGTTTCTATTTGCTGTGTTTCTTCCAGATTCCTGCCTTCAATCTTCATTTGCCTGGACTTAGGTTTGGCATTTGTTTGTAGAACTTACGAACCTTAGGAAAAACTGAAACAAATTCCCTTAGATCCTCAAAAATTCTTACCACAGTACTCCCTTAGGTTTTGGCCGAGGTCCTTCAAACCCTTTAAACACTTTTTTCTGAAATCCAACACTTTCCCTCCAAGCTGACGTCATGGGTATGTGGAGGCATAGGGTAGACACCCCAACGAAGTTAGAATACTTCAGGCAGGAGTTTTCCATCCCAGTCGACGTCCATCTGAGGTTAGTTGGGGAGGATGACTCCATCATGCCCACAGTCGATGCCATGCCCTTCCCAGTTGTAGCTTTCATAGAGTGTGGACTTAGGCTCCCACTTGACATCCTTTTCCGAAAAATCCTCCAT